CCATTGTTGCCGTCACTTCTTGGCGGCTTATATATACAAGAATACCGCATATCTAGTAACCTCTCGAGACTTCAGAAAGGGACGTGAACGTTCGAGAATATGACGTGTTACTAGAGTCACGTGACCCCCGCTGTTGTAACAATACCATGAAAAAGTGATCAGGTCATGAACTAAAAATTCACAATTGTATTGAATAGGTAAACTCGTTTCTCTGTGCCGTCGATAGCGTGACTTTGTGATCTTTGTTCTCTCACAGCATTGGCTGGCCGTGACATATTGACATCGTTAATTCAACCACCAAATGATATAACACTCTTTGTTCCTTTCAACACTAATGCCATATGTTGCTACAGTATCTATTCAACTATAGAGAACAAAGAAACAATGCAACTATAACAAGACAACTGCAACGATTTTCTGGGTCACGTGTTTATATTAAAACTGCATAGGAACTATATAAACAAAATCTTTTAAAAATTTAACTAAAAGCAATGAGAAAAAATGTGGCATGTTTGACTATCAGAAAAGGTATGGATCAGCGGTAATTCTGAAGACTTATAACGCTAATATCCAGGTTTCGATATCAATGGTGTTACAGCACAAGTGGCCCAATGTGTAGTTTTGCGCTTGGAAATAAAGAAACCTTTCTACCATGTTTGTTCGAAGAGCTAAAAGAATTTGAAGCATAATTACAAATTTTGCTTGCTATATTATACTACAGTTGCAAAACTTCAGTTTCCATGAAACAGGCAACTCAAGTTTCAACAAAAGTTTGTTATTGTTACGAGTGCTACTGCAATGCAATGCAATATTTCAAAACATGCCAATACTGAAAACACGATCTATAAATAGTATAATCTCTATTAGAACTATTTTGGAGGTTTCTAAAGAATAAGCTAATTTAGTAAGCAACTTGTCTCTTTTGCAATTGCACTATGCATTTTTTACATATTTTTTATATGAACTCAAAATCTGTGCTTAAACAAATAATAATGTATATAAAAAAGTTATAATATATAAATTTAGATTTGTGTCCTTTATTCCAAGTATTAACACTAACACTAGTAATAGTAACGGTAGGTATTGTTTCAATAATTTGATTAAGGGGCCTTTAGGCAATAAATTATTTTGACCATCATAAGGCCAAATACATCCCTGATTACCTGTTCTAATAACGAAAAATTAGACAAAATACATTAAGTTAAGCCCAAAATGGCTCAATAAAATATTTGTGCTGCTTCCCTTGTTTGTATACAAATAGTGAGTTAACATTTCACGCTATAATACGTTATATTGTCATGGCAGACTGTATGAGATCATGTTTTCGGAGGTGCTTAGATACACCGAATTTCGCAGGTGGATACGGCACGTTGGAAGAAAGTTCCGATTTAATAATTTTAGACACAAAACATATGGGTAGGTGATTTATTTTACTCTCCAAATATTTATGTTATCATGAAAGAAAATCACGGTGGCATACAATTATACATTACCATTGCATAGCACTCTCTACTTCTGTTTCTAAGTATCTTGACCGTTCGTTGGGATATTGACTCTGATATTAATATTACTAATAGTAATACTAATTAGTACTGCTGTAGAATTAAAGTCGGTAAACTTGAAGTTGAAGCCCAAAAGATTATAGTTGAGCGTAGTAATAATAGCAATACCTATATCACATACAACCTAGTAGTAGTAGGAAATCTAGAACTATAGAACCAAGTTTTTGCTATAAATAAAAAAAATACCTAGGGTTTTTTATTTAACTTTAAAGTTTAAAAGATTTTGAATTAAAATTTAAAACCGAAATGTCACTGCCAGTGTAACCTTGCAAGTTGTAGGTGGTAAGTAAATCACATAATTCGTAATCTGCTGACATGGGACTCTTACTCTTAGTAAGAGTCTTACTAAAAGTAAAACTCTAGTAAGAGTCTTAGCCTTATGCAGGTTATGGACCATCCGTTTAACACACTCGTATATCTTATAAGTGCTTTGTGAAGTTTTGATTTCAGAAGTTAAGATGTAAACATGTTTGGAAAAATGTCGAGACAAACTACTGGAATAATAAAGTAGCTTAAGATATATAAAGTATGAGGTGAGATTTAAAGTTCTGAATTTATTTTATGTAGAGAGAGGAAGAATTAAAACAGTTGATTCAGATGTTTAAAATGTCTAGGGGTTTATTAAGTTTCCTAAGACAGTAAGAGTTTGAGTGCTGAAGAAAAGGTTAGAAGTACAAACTTGAATTAATTATTAGGACTAAAAGATTTCAGTTTGGAAATATAAGTGCAAATTTGAACTTAAGCACATTTTTTATGTTATTTTCAAGATATGTGTTCATCGAATGATTTGCTGTGTTGTGTGTTTGTTGAATTACCTTAAAATTGTATTGGGTAAGTATATGAGTGTAATTTGATGCATGTGCTGAAAGTGAAAGGCTCCATTTATATGTAATTTATCATGGTATTTAAAAAGATTTTGGTAAAGCTCTTCACAAAAAGTTACTCAATAAGTTAGGTTCCTATTAAGACAATTATATAAACAATAGAAATAGAGAGAGGAGGGGCTTCTCCTTGGGCTTGACAAATTTATTGAAATCTCTGCAAATCAAGAAGGTAGGAGATACAAGTTTTTGACTCTTGCTTATAATTATTTTTATTTTGTTTTTCAAATTATTTTTTTTATATTAGAAAATTATGAAATGAAGAAGTTGGAGCTCTGTGTTATGTGACATAGAAAAATTAAAATAGATAAATATTTTAATGTTTCTTTTGGAAATTAAGTTAAAACTTAGATAATATAGAAATTTGAATTATAAGCTATATTTTCTAGCCAAATGTATTGGCATATATTGATAAAAAAGTTGATTTTTGAATGTAATACTAGAAGATTGTGACATGTGGACTTTGACCCACCCAAAGCTGAGGTTGTTGTGAAAAAGTCAAATGAACAGGTTATTCAGCAATCCACATTTTCTTTTTGCAAATTATGAATAATAACTTGCTGTAGCTTTTTTTATTAAAGTTATTTTGCTCTAAGTATTACTGGTTACATTTAATGCTTGTAATAAATAAGATATATATTATATTAAAACTATGATATTGTTTAGTTAAGGTAAACATGAATAACAGGAATCACTATGGCTAGTTATGTAACTATTGATCACTAGGCTGCATCCTCACATCTATATGATGTGTATAAGTAGAAAATAGGCACAGTTGTGTGCAGTCATACCAGAAGTAGTAGCAACAGCCGTTGTGTCATGTATGAGTTCAATTGATATGTTTCTGAAGTTGAATAAGTTTGAGTTGTACCATAGCTATGGTCAATCTCATTACTCATTGATAAAAAAGAAAAGATTACCTCAAGAATTGGAGGTGAGTGCTACCAGCCAGTTGTCTTTCCTCAGGTTGGCAATTTAAAATTAGTGAGAGAGAGCTTAAGAGCTTTTCCATAAATGAAAAAGAAAGTAATATAATGCTCCAGCAGCTTAAAGAGTGAGCATAATTGGTTTTATCAGGAATTGAACACACGATCTTCAAATCATTAGGCAACCACCCTAATCAGTAATCACAGTGCCATGCTAGCCCAAAGCTGAACAAACTCATATTAATAAAGAAAAAAAAGATATAATAATGACAACATTTTGATTACTTGGATAGTTTGAATAATCTAAAATGGTACTAATCAGAATCACTAATTATAATTGTTTGGTTATTAATTGATAATTTTACATAACTCTTATCAATGCTGTTGATTAATGGAGTTAATCACCCAGCTTTAATAAGAAATACTAATAGGTACATTGTTTGTCAAAATAAGATGTTATTCACAGTAATGTGTAATGTTAATTGTAGTTCCATAACTGAAGGTTACTAGCAATAGTCTAATTGTGAAAAATTTCTGGGAAACAGTTAGAAATTGTTTCTGTGAAATTACTGATTAACCCTTTGGATGCAATAATCAGGTTTAGCTGACTTGACATTTATAGCCATTTGGTGCAACAAGTGGATTTACCCTCCTGGTGTCACAAAAACTTTTGTTCATAGTGTAACAGTTTTGCTTAAGCTTATGAATTACACACTGGGCATTTTCAATTCATTTAACATTCTATTTCAATGTGATGCTCCATTTTTCTGCATATATGAACAAACTTGCAAATGGGGTTAAAATAGCTGAGTGTAGTGTTTATAACTTAATAGCTATTTTATGTGTGCTATTTTGTAGTGTTATGTATCTGGTCGTTTGTTAATTTCCCGTAGAAATTCTTTCCAAGAAACTTCAGCAATACAAGTCCTTTCTTAATTGAAACTAGTTTATTCTTTCTCGATACAACTTTGCAATACACAGAATTTCTACAGTCAATACGTTTGCAGTCTCGATAACAAAACACACTTTATATTACATTGCCTACTGCTCGCTTGACTCAATTATCTCAATTATTTCTCTTCAATCTATCTTCAGCTTATATACTAAAAAAGAGGGCATCTAGCAAATGCTAGGACATTCGTGAGGTTGCCCACTAAGTCACAATTCTTCTAGAAACTCCAGCACGTATGTTCCCAGCATCACGTGACTTTTGCTGTCGTAACAGTAGTTTGAATCAGTGTTTTTAATTGTTTTTTCATACTTGACAGTAATAATTAACCAAATGAGTTTTAATAGTAGTAAAACAGAATAAATGGTTGAAATTTATAACAAAAAATTGTTATGAAGAAACTATAGTAGCTTCAGGACTTATTTCAGGATTATTAGTTGAGTTTCCTGATTTTTTTTAACACATCACTAGGATTTAAATCTTCTATGGAACCTCTGGAATTATATTAAAAAATTAATTCATGGTAGTGTGATTTCACAATCATGAAATCCCTGTGGAATAAGACACTATTCATAAAAGTGAGATTTGATTATGTAGTTGTAAACGTTTGTAAGGTATTTTATTTTATTTTTCAGGTCAAGATGTGGTGCTTGTGAAAAATGGACATAGAATTTGTGGAAGTGGTGGAGCCCTTGCAAATTATCCGGTAGTACAAAATAAAGCTTATTATGAAGTAAAACTACAGCAAAGTGGTGAGGATTTTCTATGCATGTTTTTTAAGGGTACATGTGAATATAGTTATAAAATAGCTAAAGAAAGCAAGGTTATTAATCTGTAAAAGGTTGTCTACTAGATATCACATTTTGAATTTCTAACTCTGTAGAGTCCTTACAAAAACACCAAGGTTGAAGAAAGGAAGAAATGTCTTTCATAAAGCTTAAATAGGGGTTCACTTTCTTTCAGAATTAAAATAAAGTTAAAGATGGACTAAAATTTGAAAAGAAGAATAAACTTCAAGATTTTGTAATTTTCGATAAAGCTTCATATTTTTGAAAAACTGTTCCAAGGAGTAGGTTTTCTTTGAAAGTAATATAAAATCAACTAACTTTCTGTTTGTGACTATGGCCAAATTATCTGACTAGAATTACATCTACTGGTATTAAAAATTAGTTCTTTGTGTTCTATATTTTCAGTCAGTTTGTGAAAACTTACTTAATTCTCGTGAGATTCAAGAATTACTTGAGATTAAATTATTAAGACAAGACCAGGAGGAATTAGACAGAAAACGGAAAGGCCAAGAAGAGCAAAACATAAAGTTAAAAGAAGATCTAAAAGAAAGTTATGAAGACAAAAGACAGAAAATTAAAAGAAATCAAGAAGAAATTTTAAGAAAATTAACACCGGAAAGAAACAGATAAGAAAATTAGAAGAAAGAGGCATATCATCTAAAGAATTAAAAATAAAATTCCAGTGCTAATATAATCTTAGCAATAAGAGTATTTATGCAAAAAATCAATTTAAAAAACAGCCTGGTTTATCACTATAAAATGAACTGGTGGTTTTGGGTGTGTGAACTTTTAACATAATGAATTACATGTATCAGAGTAAAAGTTATATAATGTCAATGAAATAAATGTTGTAATCCCAGTATTTGTATTCAATAAAACCTTTTACCTGCAGTTAATAGAGACTCAGGGAAACTGGTTATACACATAGTAAATAACAGTGCATTGTTTCACTTCTTGAATTCATGGTCACCCTCTTCAACAGTTGAATTTCTTTTTCAAGTATATTACAAGTTCTATTTTATATTTCACCAAAATAATACCCCACTTTTTTACAGCATGTTTTATGGTTCATTCATTTGCAGGTTCTTTTAAATTATGTTGTGAAAATAATCCAATAATTTGTTTGCACAGTGGAAAAAGTTACTTTCTATTTCCTCCTTTAACATTTCTACAAGCTTGAATAGTTGTACATTGTCATAACTTGTAGGCCTACTTTACAAATGATGTTCAAACCTCTCTCTAACGATACTAGTAAAAACATAATATCAAGTTATTAGTATAAAGTAACTTAATAAGCGCAATGGCAAATGCAGATTCAAATGCTTCATGAAAACGTACTGATTGGTTTAACTGTATTTTGAGATAACTCTACACTCTTAACTATATCTTGACTATCTTTCAACTGACTACTCTTGAACAACTGTATCATATTCATAATCTAGCTTTGAATGCACAAAAAAACTTGACATCAACTTAGAACTTTCTAGGCATTCTAAACCTATCTTAACATTATACAGCCTCTAGCTAACAAATTATAACATTAAAATATAGCTTATAACAGTGTCGTACATGCCTGTGCAAAGCCTGTAAAAAGTTGAAAATATGGTTAATAGCATTTTGTTGGTTTTTCTCTACAAAAATGAAAGTTGGTTGATAAATATAAACATATTACTTTATGACATTTTCAAACAAAATTTTATATAAAGTTAATAAACTTTATTACAGTAAAAAAAAAACAACTCACAATTAAAATATTAAAAAAATTATTACTTTTGGCTATAGAACTGCATCAGCTATCAGTTAGTTAAATACATAGTAGGCTTGAGACCTTTAATTGACTGCAACTGCCTGTTGGATAAAAAGGGGGTGATGTTTTAGCTTCTATACTACGGTCTACTTCAGATCACTATAAATATTTGTGTATGTTAACTGATACTGGTACAGCTAGAGTTGTTTGATAATTTGTTAATGAAAGGTGAAAAATTGCCTCCAAAGATGAAGAAAGTGTTCCAAGTAGTAAGTAGACATAAAGTTTCAACAAGAAGGAATGATCTGAGCAGTGAGTAGACATAAAGTTTCAACAAGAAGGAATGATCTGAGCAGTAAGTAGACATAAAGTTTCAACAAGAAGGAATGATCTGAGCAGTAAGTAGACATAAAGTTTCAACAAGAAGGAATGATCTGAGCAGTAAGTAGACATAAAGTTTCAACAAAAAGGAATGATCTGAGCAGTAAGTAGACATAAAGTTTCAACAAGAAGGAATGATCTGAGCAGTAAGTAGACAAAGTTTCAACAAGAAGGAATGATCTGAGCAGTAAGTAGACATAAAGTTTCAACATACTGCAAGGTTTTTTCAGTCAATAAACCTATTGACTTGTGGACAAATGTTCTCAAATAACAAACTTCTTATCTTATTTGGAGTAGATGGAGTTTTCCCACTGCAAATTGTCCCATAAATCCAGCTAGTTCCTATCTTTTTGATGTCTGGTTATCCTTTTGTCATTCCTTTGATCTGGTTGGACATGGATACTCATCCTTAGGATATTGTCTCTGTGGTGTATTTATTTACATCATCTGGAAAGAGTATTTATTCTTTACGTGCTTTTTTCGGCAGTTCCTGATAACATGTTATTTAGTTGTTTATCTGCAACTTCAGAGGATTCGAGTTCCATAGCCAACTACAGAGTTTCCTTTAAAGATTTACACATATTTTGCTTCAACCTAATTTTTCATATTCTCATCCGTTATGGCATCTGTAAATTGGTCACATGCAAAGAAATCCATCATTTCACATGGAACATTTGGTTAAGGTAATTGGGCAAGCCTTTACAAATCGTCTACAAGTTTGGCAAGGGTTTTTTCTTTTCATCATACTCTGTCGTGGAACTTTGGTCTGAATACATCTTTATGATGTGGCACTCCGAACCTTTTGGATAAGGCATTTACCAATGCTCAGTAGTTGTTACAATTCTCAGTTGGAAGGTTATTTAATGTTTTCAAAGCTGATCCTGATAAATGGACAGCAATATATAACTTGTTGTTCCCTATGTTACCCATTCACTGAAGGAGCTTGATATGTTTCCATCATAGTCTGTTTGTTTCTCAGTTGAGTAGTGTTGAATTGGCTAGCTAAATTCTGGAACTGGATTTGAAAGTGACATGGTTGGAGTGGTGCAGGAAGATCCTTCAGTAACTGATGGCAGACCAATACAATAGTGGTAATAGGTGTGAATCAAATAAGTTTTCTTATTCATATTTTATGATAGATGATGTTTTAGATTGGAATTCTTTGGCAGATGCAGAAAGAGGTGTGTGTTGCAGATTTGATCTATCCGTTTATTGACCTTTTACTGAATGTTTTATTCTATCATCAATTTCGTTTTGTACTTCTTTGATTTTTTTAATTATTTCATTTCCAGTCTTTGAGTATTTCACTGATGTCTTTCTGGAGTTCAGTTTTATTATGTAACCCCTCTGTGTACATCTCCAATAGCTTCATAGATGTTTCATCAGGTTTATTTTTAATTCTTTAAGTATTATGTCTCTCATAATTCTTCTCTTAAATTCTCACTTCTTACCTCTTGATGTTTTAACTTTCTGTCTTTCTTTTTGATCTTATTTTATTGCTCTGTCTCTTTCTGTTTGTTTTTCTTTTCTCTAGCAAGTTTCCTGTCTTGCTCTGTGATTGTGTGGTCCTCTTGAAAGTTGAAATTTTGTCAAAGTTCTATATAATTTTCCCCCAAATAATTCAATTTCTGTTGTAGGTGGGTTCTTTCAAATTATTTGATAAATAATTTGATCCAATCCAATTAACAATAACAAATTAGTTTTTCTTCCTTAATAATTGCTACAGACTCCATTCACTTATAGTTGAAGGCCTAAGTGCACAAGCATTATTTGAAGAGAAATTCTGAGACTGTAGTAAGTACATCTAATTTACAAGTATACTTGTTTACAGAATTTCCTTACTAATAGATGCAATAAATCTTACTTTTAACACTGAACTGTGAACAACAACTTTTCTGACACTGAACTTATAAACTCTCTGAATACTCAATAACTTCTCATTCATTACTCACTACTTATTATTAACTGGTTTCTTTTATTTATAAACAATGTGCCCTTTCTCTACATACTGCCTAAAATTACTAGTTTACAACAATGTGAAATCCATCATGAAATATGTCTGTATTATTCTATATGAAATGAAGTACGTTGTAGCTGCAAATTTATGTTGTTGTTTTTTGTCACCTTAATAACATAATTTATATAGCATTAAAATTTGTAAGTATTGGTTTATTGATCTTTTCATTGTTTATGAAAATCAATAGGTACATTTATCACATTGTTAAAAAGCTGGCATTTTTTAATTAGATATAAAATGTTGCTTCATAGGGCACATTTACCCCATGATCAGAAAACTTTAGGTTCTAAAAGTACCAGTACCTGCCACAACTTCCACCAGAACACACATTCATTGTGGAAAAAGTAAATTTCTAGTTTATTTAACACTAATGAATGAAGTTACACAAGTAACAAGCTAAAATGTAATGCAATGCAAAAACTGATTTTACACTTTAGTCAACATTAAAAATATGTTTATGCAATTGCAAATTGGAAACATAAAACTATTAAAAAACCATTAAATTTACACTTTATTTAATGCTAATGTAGTCCAAGTGCTGAAAGTAGGTGCTGCCAGACATTTGCTTTCTCTTTAGGAAGTAGTTCAAAATTAGAGACAGTAGCAGATAGCTTATAGCTTTAGTAGCTTTGCCATTGTAGAGAAACAAATATAACACCCTTGTGATTATCAGGGAATGCAAGTTTGGTGGCAGTGGGAATCAAACCTATGATCCTTGAATCACAAGGCCATGCTAGTCCAAAGCTGAACAAACTTGCAGTAAGAAATAGAAAAACTTGTACTGTTAAAAAATTTGGATAAAGTTTCGATACCTAGGCTGAGTGCAGATAGCCCATTATGAAGTTGACAACAAACAAATATAATAGTAATACTCCAATTACTTGGATAGTGGAATAATCAGAAATAATAATAATTCAAAATCTTAATTTCTATTAGTTGATTATTTTTGCTTAATCAATTATTTTTCTGCTTTTTCTGTAGCTAGATTTTACTGACACTTAAATTAAAATATAGTACAGTGAGTAAGTGTGTGTTTGTATGTGTATATAATATTTTGATTCTCTATCTTGGCTAGGTTTATTTTAGCTGAGAAATTCTGTTTCTATATTTTCCATGTTTTTATTATATTTTTTTTCCAAGTATTTTTTTTTTGCTTGTTGAAATACATATAAAAAAAGAATTTTTGCAAATGGAAATCGGTTATGTAATCTTGTAGACATATAGAAAACTAGATATTTGTCATTCAAATTTATGTAGATAATCATAAATGTTGTTTGTATATGAAATGATCAAAATAGCTGTTTTAATGCAGTAAATGTATTTTCAAAATTAAAAGCTCTAATTATTTATAAGGATTATACATAATTTTGCTTCTGTGTTATAAAGGTGTTTGGGGTGTTGGTCTTGCTACTCGTATGACGGATCTTAATCATGTTCCACTTGGACATGATAGTCAGACATGGGTCTTGACAAGTGAAGGAACAATTACACATAAAGGAGAAGTTTTACATAAACTTGTGGAAATACCACAAGAAGGTGATGTACTGGTAAGAGGAGTTACCACTAGATATTCTTATACAAAGTTGCTTTATATAAAGATATAAATTAATTACATATTCAGAAAGACTGATTACCTCTTTATGTACACAGAGCATGGTTGTAACTGTTATGCTAAGCCTTTTTCCTTCTTAAATCATTGAAGCAATTGTGTGTGGTTTTGTATTCATGATTAATATCCATCTGTAAGATGGCCATTCATTTAACCAGTCATTCTAATGTATATTTGTCTTTAATCCAAGACTTCTTTCCATATTTGACAGTGCTGTTGTGTAATAATTTAGAACAAAAAATTCCCCTCTGATTTTAAATGTCATAAACACTCTTTCTTTGTTTGTGGTTATTTTCATACTTATTTATTTCAATGAATGATGACTGAGTATATAAATATGTTGAAGCTTTTCTACATGTTTCTGTTATTTCATTGTAGTATATAACATAAATTCTTGTTTGCTATTTCTGAAGAACGTATGCTGTTCTTGTTTTAACATTTAATTGATTTGTAGCTACCACATAACAAAAGTATACTTCACTCCCTATACTGATTTCAGCTACTGTATAATAAAAGTATACTTTATTCCTTACGCTGATTTCAACTGTTGCATGATAACAGTCCACTTCATTCCTTACACTGATTAAAGCTACTATATAACAAAAGTACGCTTCATTCCTTACACTGATTAAAGCTACTATATAACAAAAGTACACTTCATTCCTTACACTGATTAAAGCTACTATATAACAAAAGTACACTTCATTCCTTACACTGATTAAAGCTACTATATAACAAAAGTACACTTCATTCCTTACACTGATTAAAGCTACTATATAACAAAAGTACACTTCACTCCTTACACTGATTTCAGTTGTTGTATAATAACAGTCTACTTCACTCCTTACACTGATTTCAGTTGTTGTATAATAACAGTCTACTTCACTCCTTACACTGCTTTCAGCTACTGTATAATAAAAGTACACTTCATTCCTTACACTGATTTCAGTTGTATAATAACAGTCTACTTCACTCCTTACACTGATTTTGGATGTTGTATAATAACAGTCTACTTTATCCCCTACACTGATTACAGCTACTGTATAATAACACTCTACTTTACTGGGTCACTTTGAGTGCAAGGTGATTTTCATGTTAAAAATAAAAATACTATATTGGCCTGATTATAGGACAATCTCGAATATAAGGCGACCCCCACTTTCAGAAACCATTGGAAAAAAAAAAATTGAGTGTCATAACGTCCTTTTTTAGGTATGCAAAATCAATACTATAACTAAACAGCCTGCAGGTGGATTAGTTACAAGAATTAACAATGACCTGGCATGCATGCATAGATAGATGCTATCTGGACATTCAGAAATGCAACAGGCTAGAGTAGGGGAAAGGGGCCTGTTGTCGGCCACGATTATAAGGTGACTATGAATTTTACAGCCTGATTATTAATCAAAATACATCGCCCTATAATCGAGCCAGTAGTACTTTTTTTAAGCTTACAGTTTTTATATTTCATTTACATAATTTTTAGAACCTCATAAATGAATACCAAGTTTTCTTGTTTTTGTTTTTAGTAAAACTTTATACTATGTTATTTTTCCTATTCTAAAACCATATGGGCTTGGTCCATTTGACTGACCTTTTAACCACTATATAACAAAAAAGTATGAAATAAATCTAAACTACCCCATTTTCTTTCTAAACAGATAGTTATGCACTATTTATTTTTACAGCCAAAGCTAATACTTTTCAAATCTTCCAGTAATTTAGACTTAATGCTTTACAGCTGCACTTAGAGTATAGTGGAAGCAATTTATCACAGTAGAGCAGCTTTATGTAAACAAAGGATTGAGTTACCAGCATGATTGTTCAAATTACAATCATGCTGAGCTTGGGATGCGTGTGTGTGTGTGCACACACAATTACAAGTATTTTATAATTTTGTTTTATTTAAGTTTTCTTACCTAACTTCTAATTTTAATGCTTCATTTACTTTTATAACAACAAATAAAAAATATACATAAAAAATACAGAAATTTAGTCCTTACATGTGGGTCTGTAGTTTTTCAAGCTTTTGATCTCAATCTTGAAAAAATATAACTACTTTTTGTTTGTGTTGTTGGTAGTACTTTACGTAAATTATCCAAAAAAATATGGTTACTCTAAAACTTATAACATAACTGGCTTTCTAATTAAGATATAAGTTAGTTACAATTATTTCATCAGCTGGTTGAGGTGGTCTCAGAAATAGCAACAATGAACTGTAGGTCAAAATAATTTAAAATCATCAGAATGAGCTAGCCTTATAGAAAATACAGTAAATTAAAACATTTTCTTTGTGTTGATTTATAAATAATACACCAGCAAATGTCAGAATTATTTGCATTTTTTGAAAGACAGGATGTGATAGGATGGCATGGTTTGTAGGTTTGACTTTTTGGTTTATATTGTGGTCAAATGAGAGTTGGACGCTATACATTTATATTACATCTTAGCAATATCTAAACTATAAGTGTGTAATTTGTGCAAGACTCAGAAGGTCATGTAGGGATAGAACGAAAATCTAAAATGGGCAATTCAGAATGAAGGAAGTATTACATGGTATAGACAAGTAAAGAGTGAGAATTTATTTATTTCCTTTTGACATTAAGAAATTATAACTTGTATTAAAATTTGGGTTACAAACTATATTTTGATGCCAAGTTTATTGCAGTACATTGATGATAACGTAGGTTAATTATATTTAGAATGTAACTCCTTACCTAGATTGTGGCATATGCACTTTGACCTACCTTTATACATAGGGTTACTCTTTTGTCAGATTATTACTGGGATTAATCGTTATTTAATGAGTTTTTTTTTAATTTTAATTTTCAAGGAAACTCAATCCTTTTCGTTTGACTTTGAAGGTAAATTTTTTTTATTAAAATGTTATATTCTGATATGATATCTTACCTCCTCTCACAAAAAGCTTTCTTGACTTGTGCTGCCCTTTATAGGTGCAAGTCTTCACTCGCTACTAGAATTGTTATTCTCACTTATTACTGCATATTAACATGCAAATGATCATGCAGTAACTCTCTGCCAGTAGGAGTGTGACATTACCCCTATAGTAACTAGTGCCCTCTCTAATCATGCACTTTTCAATTGGCAGTTCTACTGATTAGACACCTTTTTTTGCTCGTGGTTTAATTCCCTATGATGCCAGGTTTTGGACTGGAGATGCAACCACAAAATTGTGGCCCCTCTTCCTACCATTTACTGAATGTTGGTCTCCAGTGAATCTGGTGTTGGTTTTAGCTGGACAAAACATACGACTTCCCACTTGTGTAAGGCTGGGTACCCTCCTTCTACCATGGACTAAACAACCAAATTCCCAATGCCACCAGGTTTTGGACAGGAGATGAACACCCATCTGGAATCTCCTCCTTTCTACCATCTGCTGGTTGTTAGTTCCTGGTGGATCTGGTGTTAGAAGTGCACACATTTGGAGATGGGAATTCCTCTTCCCTGCTGGTACCCATTTTTTGAGATGAAGGGTAGAGGACCCTCTTCTTATCATGGACATAATGTACAATTCCAGATACTGCCAGGTGTTGGTTGAGGTCGAATTCATATTTACAATCTGTCATGCCCTAGCCACTCTACACTAGGAGGTTCCATTATTTCTGTATTTTTTATTTGGGACCCTTCCAGTTTCCTGCCCTTTACCTTTTGCCAACACATTACTAAAGGGTGAAAAGTATACCTGGCTCAGATGTGGTACGGTCTCCCATTGGGGTGTTGTTTTCAATTCCTTATCACACTTCATGGTCTTCCTTGTCACTTCCTAAAGGGGGGATCGCCTTTTCACTGGCCCTCCTTCAATTCAGTGTTGGATTCTAGCTTTTTGTGGGAGGAGGTAAGGTATCATATCAGAAGTTAACATTTTACAAAACTGAAAATGTATTTCTGATAGATACTTACTTCTGGTGTGAATTGGTTTTGTTAGTTATAACCAATCTCGAAATGATTAACATGTGCATGAATAGAGAGAGCACTAGTTACGATAGGGTTGGTGTTGCACTCCTATTGGTGGAGGATTGCTGCATGATCATTTGCATGTTAGTATGTAGTAATAAGTGGGAGTAACAAGGCCAGTGGCAAATGAAAATTTGTGGCAATTGAGGGTAGTACTAGTCAAGAAAGTTTTTTGTTAGAGGAGGTAAGTAACTATCGGAAATTCATTCTCTGTTTAGAAAAATTTTAACTTTTCCATGCATTAATGCAAAGTTTATATGAGCAACCTACCATCATGACAAGTAAAAAGTTAAAGGCTTCTATCCTGTTGCTAGTAAAAGCCATTAACCAAGTAAATCAGTTTATTTGCCTATTAGGCCTGGGTTGCAATTAGTTCAATATATGTATAATTTTATATAAATTATTTGGATGTTATTAGATACTGACACTTCTTTAACCTTCTTGGCATTCTTATATTTGTGAATATTTTGCACCATAGGTGGCACTTTTTGTTTTACAAAATTTTGTTTTCCCTTATTATGAAATTAAATTTACTTGTCATGTATATTAACAAAACAGGTTGCAACCATTCATATTTTTCTTACATGCACTGCAGCTCAAAATATTGCTCAAAACTTTATAGACAGATGCAGTACAGTAATAACATGTTTAATCTACTCTCTTCTTTGTCTAAACATTCTCTCAAGCAAATACTTGAATTGTTATTTGATTTTCAGTATCACTTCAGGTAAATATGTAAATGAAATATTGATTAATAATGTAAACTAGGACTAAATACAAGCCATTCAACAAAGAAATTATAAAAATCAATTAATATATAACAGGTTTCTTGGATATTTTATATCAGAAAATTGGAAGAGAGAATCAGTCACTTTACCTTAGGTAAAAACACTGTCAATATTCTTAAAACTTTTTGTTAATAATGATCTTTTGATACAGGGTATCACTTACGATCATGTGGAGATGAACTTTTACCTCAATGGGAATTCTCTTCATAGCCCTATAACAGGAATTAAAGGAGAGATGTATCCTGTGTTGTATGGTAAGTTTCATGTTATTGAATTGATTATGATAATGAAAGATGAAATGTCTATACAAATCTCCTTCCTCATGGTATACTGAAATAATGATGATTAAAAATTCTATATTTGTTAGTTTTATTTTGTGAATTTTTTTAAGTCCACAGAAAAAAATGTTACATGGTTTAAACTTGAAACTTCTAATAGTTGTATATTCAAGATTTCAGTAATAACAAGAGTGTGTGCCACACACACAGTGCTTGAAATAGGGCAGAATGCCATTCCACTTGTTTTCAGGAGGGTCTAAAACCATCTTGCCACCATTTAGTTGGTTATAAGCTTTTCAGAATAGAGAATACAATAAGTATTTATGGCAGTAAGAAAATGGGGAGAGAAACTTTATTTTTTTTAAATGTCATGTAAGAGTGAGGCAGGAATGAGACAAAGTAGTACAATGGAGCAATGAACCCTCTTACTACAGGCTCAGTCAGTGTGACTGAGTTGTAACCACAAAGCAACTATCAGTTTCTATAACATAACTCTTAACAGTATACATCTGTTTATACTTAATTTTATTGTTTTATTGCCCTTTGAACTGTGTCTTAACTAATAATCCTGCCACACAAGTTGTAAATCAGTCAGTAAACATGCAGCCCACATTACTATATCAAATTACAGAATACATGAGCTACTTACAAGTATACCCCTTGAAGAATTTTTATTATTATTTTTCATTATTTTACCTAATCCAGCATAATAAGTTTGTAATCTTTACATTTCAGTTACTTTATAATAATAAATAAAGAATACACATGAAAGTGATATAGTACTCAGTTTTAAAAATTTCACAAACCTCTTTCCCCTCACTTCAAGCACTGCACACACACACACAAATCACAGTGTATAAAATCAACTTTCTTAAGCTAGCAGTTGTCCATAAGATTGGTATTTGAATTGGCACTTTTATGATCTGTTTGACTATAATATAATGTGCAGCAGTTTTATATCTAATCACTATGACTATTATTACACACTTATTTTTACTATAAATTACTAATATGGTAGAGGGCAGTGCACAAACTATACTATGGAAAGTACTGGCATCATTTTGAATTTCCAGTTAATAAGTATTAAAGTAAATTTCAGTAAAAGGAAAAATTATTGTTGTGGTACAAAACAAATAATTAAAATTAATTTTATAGAAACTCAGAAACCTTAAGTGTTATCTTTGAATAATAAAAAATGAATGTCTGGATTAAAAGATCTTGCTATCAAACTTATAAAATGCCTAATATTTGTGACAGTTATTTTAATTATTGAAGAATAAAACTGAAGTTACATTGAGACTTATAAGAATAAATCTATATTCATAAAATCACAGAGACAGTAGTTATATTGTTAAGTTGCAATTAATAAGGAAGGAAGTGTGTTGACAATAGTTACAAGTTTGGACGGTGCCAGTCAAAGTTAACCCAGTTCACAACTACAGTTAGTGATTCTCAAAGCAGTACTGAAGTTGAATCCTGACTGTCTAGCTAATAAGACATGCTGAATTGTATAATTAGAATTGAGATACATATACATAAAATTCAGTGAAGATAAATCTAAAGTAATAGTTAACTGTATTTCTAAAATCTTGTATAAGTACTACAATACAGTTTCAAACTGTAATCATTATCTTTAAACTGAGAAGAAAATTTACAGAGGAATAGTGTTATTAGTATAATATGGTTTATATTAAGCCAACTCTATGACTTTAGTATTCACTAGTTTAAACATAAGTTTTACAATTCAGTTATATTGGAAATAGCCAATAAATTCAATATTTCAATTTTTCATATAAATATTCTATTGTAGATGTTTACATTATTCAAGATATAAAAATGTTAATGCCTTATAGTGTTCTAAAGATGTGTTTTTGCCTGTACATCTTACAATTCCTTATTATAGAAGCTTAAGAAATGGCACATGATTATTAAATTTATCTGATTTTCTCTACTTTTTCAAGTTATTTTGATGTTGTGCACTTGGGATAAAATATTTTTTTTAAACCTGTAGCCATACAGACATTCACGTAAGATGACACTGTGTAAAAAGAAACGGGATTATATCTGTTAGCAGTGTCTGTAGAAGTCCTTGTTAAATACATGATTAACATAATGAAACTGTTAATATCTGTTTCTCAAGAGTGATGTGCTATGTTGTATAGTGACTGTCAAACAAACCACATTATATATTTCATCAGAACTTTCTTATGAAAGGTAATTATGAGAGGCATGTCAAAGTGTGCATGCTTGGCTACAGTGCATGGGTACTTAACATAGTATCTAGGCAAAGAAAGGCAAGCATATTGGATTATCTTATACCATTCTGCTCCAGAAATTGTACTGGTCGAAAAAAGAGAAAAATGTAGTTAATCACAGAATTAAATGAATAGGTTACAAATCTCCAAAAGATTTTTATATATTTATTTTTGTTCATCAGGTTGTGAAGCTTAGAACAAAAGTGTACACAGAGAATTAGAAATATGCATGCATAGCATCTTGAATGTTTAGATATAAAGTTCTTTGAAAATTGCATCTTTTAAGTAAATATTATACAATCAAAAATGAAAGAAATAAATAAAAAGATAAAATACAAATGAAAAAAATTATATTCTATAAGAAAGAAAAATGTTTGTTTAAACCATACAGGTTATTCTAAAATTACCCATTGCTGTGAACCATTTTTAAATTTTCTTCAAAACGTTCTTCATGGACACCATGCTCTGGTGATTTCACTACACAGTGCAGTAGATTATACATTGGACAAACAGGCCACTGACTGAGCATGTGAACATCTAAACAATATTAAACTGCAGAACTGAGAGACATCTATAGGCAACAACAGTTGTGGAAATCTTTTGATTCTCAGGGTTATGTGTGTTCTAACAGACATTCTTGAAAAATAACAAATAGAAAGGAAATTAAATTACAATCTAAGAACCTATCATTTACTTTAACATATTTTCACAAAGTATAAATATTCTCTATTCATTGTAGCCTGTGTTAATATGTTTTTCATACTACTCAATCAACTACTTTTGAAATGTTTTTATAAGGAATCTGTCATGTTAGTTTACTGCATGTCAGAATTTAAAATGTAATTCTTTGCCAATTGTCAAAATAAAAGGCTTTTACTTATATTTCTTAATAGTAAAAATGTATACTTTGTTGTTGTTGGGCTTAGGATTCTTCTACAGTAGGTGTCTGTGACTTGTTGGTGATAAATTTGATGATAAATACACAACATGCACTTCACTTGTTTTCAAAATAATATATATATTCGGAACAAGTTAAACATATGTACAATAAATTCTTCACACTATAGAGGTTACAGGCATATTGTTGCATCAGC